CGCTCGGACGTGGCTCAGACGCCTGGCATACAGATCATGTCGACCGTTCTCCTAGATATTGATTTTGTATGACCGTGATAGTACAATCACATGCATCATGTTTTCATTCGCCAAGGGTTAGTCCGACGCACTTATTAATTTTGTTTCTCGCGACCACTGCCAGGGTATTATTTGCGGCTTCTGGCTGGCCACATTCAAATCTGTGAAGACGCCCTGGGACACGCCCAGCCCGCTTTCGGCCAATGGCGCCTCTTCATTTGCTTCCTATACTTTCCAATGAATGGCCAAACTCTTTCTATGTATACACCTTTCCAAAAAACGCTCCTAGGCCACTGCCATGTTGCTGATGCTGATGCGGCTGGTGCGACTCTCGCGCCCTCTATCAGCTAGAAATTTTCTGCCACCCTCTGGGACTGTGAAGACCCGCTCGGCGTGGTTCTCTACCTACGTTTTTGCGGTTTTGCATTCAATGTTTTCTCGCCCCTCTTGAAAGTTTCCACTTAATTTTTTTTATGCGTGCTGCGTACCCTTTTTGTGTTATCTTCCACTGTGATAAATAAGGCTGGTAAGTACCTGCCATTCAAGCTTTTCTGCTCGACATTCACGGGAAAGGAAGGAGGTGAAGGACGTCGAACGACCCTCGACGCGATTTCGCAAACATTGTTCTTCCCCCTCCCAGAGATAATCCGCGTAGAATCCTCAGTCGTCTCCCAATATAGCTGTCCGGGTTGGGGTGAGAAACGGGTCAGTCGCGTTTGTTTCTTTGCTTTGGTGCGGTTATGAGAAAAGGTAGCTCTTCCCAAAACGGGCCCCAAGACGAAGTCATCTCTGATTCCGTCCGATCATCAAGATGTGACTGTCGTCGACTGTGACTGTGTTATTTGAAATCTTTCTCAAATAAATTCTTTTCGGATAACGCTGCATCGTGTGGTACGTACGATATATTGTTTGAATGTTACCACTTCCTCAATTGTATGTCCGTGTCCTGTCCATCGGTAAACACGTTATTTGTGAGCATGAAAAATGCATGCCTTTCGGCCCTCTTCTGTTGCAATTTATTTTTGACAGCAAAGCGCTTTGTCGTTTCACATGCGGTGAATCCTGCGGCGCCGTCAAAGCTTATCGTAAGAAATAAACACAAACAACTAGAACTATACATTCCAATCGAACTCGTTCTGTCGCGCGCGTACCCAACAAAAATAGTTTAGTTTTTTTTTTTTTTTTTTAAATGTGGGACAATGCTTTCTCAATGTCCTCGGGAAAATACATGTAGCATGAAACACAAAATATAGCGGGAAACGACGATAATTTATCCGCCAGCAGTGTTTGAAACTGCGCCTACACAGGCTGCGCCTATTGACATCACAGTCCACTCGGTTAGGGTTAGGAGGGACGCTGGTGAGAGTCTAGCCTCAAACTCAGTGACTGGGCTCGAAAACAGTTTGTTGCCCCTGGGGTTGGGTGTTTTTTGGAAAGGTGTATAAGGATGGCTGGTTGGGCTAGTTGGTTTTGCATCATGATGTAAAACACCAAAACAACAGAGACGAAAAAGAAGGGAGAACTGGACAGGACGTGGCGTATTACACCATGGTTTCTACGTATAGCTCTGCCCGCTTGGTCTGGAGGTCGATGACACGAAAACTCTATCACGGGTGACGTCAGAACTGTGCAGTGTGCAACCACGTCCTTTCTTATCTGCTGGCCTGCTTTCTTCAAAGCGACGTGCTCCTGTCTCATCGTAACGGCTGTACATGCCGCTTCGGCAGCCCTGATTCCACAATCTTCGCTCATCACTCTGGACAGCTGCCGAGCTCACGTGCTCTGTGGCACGAGCAGTTCACGCAACTCGCTCGCGCGACTTGTCGAAGTGTTAAAAACAGTTGTGTGCAATTCCGCAACTCCGCCTCGGAGGTTGCGACGGGGAGGGCTGCAAATTTGCCTCTACCGGACTCTGAGCCACGGGCATTTGCTTCTTGCGCATCCAACATTGTCATGTGGCAGGAACCCTAAACGTTTCTTCAACTGCTGCCATAGTTCTACGGAAATTTGTGCAGCTGAGTAAACCTACGCATAGACCAATTTTCTTGAAGCGTGGACCAACCACTGGTCTCTATTGTAGTAGGCTGGATTCAAATCGGAAGTCTGTCGGTGGCGCCACCGGCAGCCATTGCTTGGCACCAAGCAATACGTGCCTTGCACGGGACGTCATATGGCTCCATACCATTCCTGTGCCCGTACCCTCTGGAACATACATTTTGGCAGCATCGAATCTGTTCTTCTCCGCAAAGTTCTCCGAGAGGAAGAAATTCATTGGTCCTAAATGTGTGCTCCGGAAGGTACGGGCACTGGAGCATGGTCCGCAGCAATGGTGGCTGATGTGACGTCAATGCAAGTCGTGTATACACGCAAGTCTATGGGAGAAACACACAAAAGAAGGAAATTAAAGCTTCTACACAGTGTTCGAAGGCATGTATTTTACGATGTGCTGCAATAATTTTATTGTGTGTTTGGAGGTTGAATTGCGATTTCTCAAGCATTCGAATGCCCATTAAAATATTGTGCTATAGCACCCATGGCTGATCTGGCAAGCTTGCTCTCGTGGTGGAGTGAACAAATAAACTTGCTGTCAATAATGCCGTCGTGGGGGAGCCCAGAAGTTGCTGAACATCAACAAAGTTCCATATTGGCAGCGTCTTTCCGGGAGTGAGCGAAATCATAGCAGAGCCTTCAAGCTTGTCACCTGCTAAACCCGACTCATTGAAATCGCCACCGACTCCGAGGTACCTTTAGGTAACTCTCTTCTCAGTGAGCTGCTGTACATTTTTTGCCCAGTAGAGTCACTCTCGACAACAAAACATTTCTATATAACAACCGCGAGGGTTGTCAGTTTTAATGTTTGTGCACTAGCTATTTGACAGGCTTCCCGACAGCAGCCAAAAGATTCAGTGACGACAACAGTTTACGAGAGGGGGAACGTCACTTTTCTTTGTCTTTCCCATAGAGTTTTATGCATTTGCCAATGTCAAGTGATGGGTGCTGGTGGCACCACTCCTCCCTATTAAGACGAGCCTCGATCCGTGATCCAGCTTACTACAACAGAGGTCAGTGGCACCAACTAGCCCAGGTACTGATGTCGCTGGCTTTCTGGCGCAATATAATAAATAACATGCTGAAAAGAGCAGGGCCATGACATGACGTGGTGAGGCTAGCCTCTGTGATGGAGCTTCTTCGGTAGGTGCATCCCCTCTGACCTCATCGCCCGTCTGTCTATGCTGAAAGAAGCAGTGGTAAATCTCCTTCGTGGGATTGCCAATGGGAGCAGCTTCATCTCCATCTTTGGCAAACTCCACCGGCGAACCAACTCCATTGTGACGTCTGTCAACACGCACGACTGAGTTGAAACTCTATCGGGATTTTTCCCTTAAAGTGTCCCCACTGAGAATCTCAAAACACCGCGGTGAGTATAACAGTAAAAATATTATTTTTAAGTTGGCAAAATGAATAGCATGAGACAAAATTAAAAAATATATTCCTGAAATCTGGTTGCATGAATTAGTACCTAATGTGCTGAAATAATGAATACAATCAACGTTAACTACAACCCTTTACGTTGCGAAGACAGTTGTGGCCGACAACGCTAAGAAGCGCAAGCTAGGTCGCTACGTCTCGGCATGACAGTTTGCGCTTCTCCTGAACTTTCTCGGTGAAAGTCGAGTTTTCTCGGGGACTGCTACAGAGAGCTTTGTTACCAAGGAGGAGCGAGATACACTATGGGGCGTAATAGTTTGAGAGTTAAATGCCCTTCGGCCATAAAGAATAACTTTCTGGAACTCACGTGCATGCCAGACGTGGGCTTGCGACCTGAGAGTCTCGTGTCCCTAACAGAAGACCGGTGCAAACCTGCCAACTCTTCCGAATTTTTTGTAAAATGTATGAATTGGGACTAATTCTACGATTTTACGAATCTTGCTTCAAAGTTTAAGAAAAAGATACTTTTTTCATTTCTATTTTTTTAAACATTTTTTTCGTAAAACCGTTGCTGGCGGTACCTCACACTGCCACAAGAGGGCGATAGGTGCCGTCCACGGCAGCGTTGTGGTTTTTACTATCCGTCTATCCGGTGGCCACATATCCAAAATCAATCCAAAGCCCAAAGCCTTTGTTTGTGTGTTTGGCGGCGCATGTTGGTTTGGCGTGTTCAGACGTGGTTGGGCCTCTGTTTCGGCCAGTTTCGAGGCGAGAAGTGCAGCGTCTGTGTTTGTTACACGTGTAATCATAGCATTCCCCTGGTTGCGGTGGCTTCGCGGTGCAATGGCAAATTCCAAACCTAAAAAGAGGTACTTTCAGGTGTTCTTGAAGTCCTACACGTCGGAATTCCAGTGCTTTGTGCCGTCCAAAAAGGAGAGAAGTTTGGATTCTGTAGCACGTGCACGTGTAATGTAAGCGTTTTGCACGGTGACAAGGCTGACATTAAGCCTTGCCACCTTGCGAAACAGCCCCCCCCCCCGCAATTGCGTGAGTTTTACGAATTGTAATGTCCACAGGTTGGCAGGTATGCCGGTGGGGGCGCGAGTGATGGGCCGTCCCTAAACGCGGAGCAAGAAAAATTATTATTTTTTGTGGGGACGGATTTCTCTCGAGGGGGCGGGCGTGCGCCCCCGACAGTGGACGCGCCGCTGTGGGACTTCACGGCTGCAGCAGCAGCTTCGATAAGTACCGTGAATCTCTTGGATCATGAGCAGACACCATGTTGCTTTTTACCTTATTGAACACTAATGTACAAAACAATGTGGTGCGAATGTATTGCCTCGTGGTGTTTTCCACGAAAGCTTGGATATCGGGGCTGCAGCACATTTCTAGACCCACTCGAAGACAATAAATCCGTGACATTCGAAAAAAAAAATAATATTGAGTTTAGGGTGCACACTATTAGACACAGGTATAACTAGAAGGGCTGTATAGCGTTGTGGTGTGTTACATAGTTGAATTATATTATGCAGGGGTCTGTGGCTGAAGGCGACATGGCAAAGGGAGGAGAGGAGGAACGTCCTGCGCAAGTGGCATGCCCCCTACCACCGAATGGTACGAACGAAAAAGATGGGAAAGCTGCGATTGTTTATTGCAGTGTGCACGCTATTACAAATGTGTTTCGTGTCATTAGCAGTGCAGCATCCACCAGGTGCCATGCCAGTCCGGAGAACTAGGGCCAAGTCTGGAGTTGATACGGCACGGGATCTGCTGTCCATTCAGCAGGACCAGCTGGCTGTCCAGCGAGAACTGCTGGCCACACAGCAGGGTCTGCTGGCCACCCAGCAGCAGCAGCTGGCAGTTCAGCCAGAAATGCTGCTCGTGCAGAGAGAGGCAGTCGATGCACTCCGTCGACTTGCAAGCGTAGGTGTTAAGAGAACTGTAGTGTAGTGCACTCCCAATTATTGTTGTTAGGCTGATTTTGGTCAACCCTACTTTAGCCAGTTAAGTTAGAAGGCAGTGTTCTTAGACTCAGACTGAAACCAGATATGATTTGTATGTGTATTTGAAGTGTCCAACAGCGAAGGCTTTATTTTGTTTATTTCAATGAAACCTTCCAGTGCCATAATGCTAATGAAAATCGGCAAGCCTTGAGACAAAATTTTTTCAACTTATTGAAAATTACCATACTGTGCTCGACAATCCGAACTACTACGTCTAAACCGTGGTTCAATAATCCACTTCATCGTTTATCTCATAAAAAGAAAAGATGTTTCAGGAGCGCTAAAAAAGGAAATACTTGGCCTAAGCTTGCCACTTGCTCTTCCGAATAAAAAACTATTTTAAAGGGGTGTTAGCACACATTCTTTCTGATAACTCTAAGCAGACATTCTTTCTGCAAACTCTACCTAATATGTTAATAAACAACCCTCGCAAATTTTGGAGATTTGTACTCTGAAATTAATCTAGTGAATAGCTCTTGTAATAACATATTGAATAGTGAATGTGTGAATATTTAAATAGTGCGTTTTCTGATGCTTTCACTATTTCTACACCCATTACTGGAATTTCTCCTGTTATAGAGAATGATTTTCCAATGGATTCAATTGTTATAAACATTCAGGGTGTTTTCAGCGGTATAGAAACCCTCAAAATATCTCCATCATGTGGCATAGAGGAAATCATTACGAAGGCTCTCACTAACACTAAATTTTCATCCGGTCTTTACCTCAAAGATATTTGAGCAGTCCGTGGACACAGGGGTGTTGCCCTCTGACCGGAAAATTAGTAAGTAGGCCAATATCACTCACCTGCCTCTACAAGATCCTCGAGCATGTCATTTACAGGCACCTGATTAACTTCCTGGATTCCTGCAATTTCTTCACCAATGTGCAGCATGGCCTCTGGAAACGCCTTTCTATTGGGACCCAACTACTTATTCTAACTAACGATTTGTTTAAAAATCTTGACACCGGCTTTCCTACTGACGCTGTTTTGCTTAATTTCGCCAAAGTTTTTGCTAAAGTCCCGGACAATCGCATTCTTCTTAAACTTTCTTTCCTAAAACTAGATCCTCATGTTCCTAAGTGGATTGAATCATTCCTTATTCATCGCTCTCAATTCGTTTTCACTAACAGCACATCCTCCTCTTTCTCTCCCGTTTCTTCCGGTGTTCCACAGGAAATTGTGCTTGGGCCTTTGCTCTTTTTAATCTACATTAATGATCTCCCTCTTCACATCTCATTCTCTGTTCATCTTTTCACTGATGACCTGTGCTGTTTATAGACTAATAAAAAACCCATATGACCATGTTGCACTCCAGAACGGCATTTAAGGGGAGACACTGCTCTTTGAAGCAAAATTTTACTAAGAAAACACATTTTTAAAAATGTGTTTTTTGAAGTTTGGCAAGCACTTATCATCTTGTCCTGAAGGATTTTCGACATATTGAATGAGGGCTACAAATATATTAAATAGGCTGTCAGGCTTTTTGTGGGTGCCTTTTAGGCATCCGGCAAAAAATGATTTTGGAACTGGAAGGTTCAAAAGTGTCATAAGTAATTTATAAATCATCCTAGAGCTTTCATTTATACCTTATTGGATTGCACATACCTCTCAGTTCACTGATCTATGTTTATTTTCTGAGCTCAGTATTTTAATTTGCGTTAATCCTTTCCATAATCATTGCAAATTAAATTTTTAATATTAATAAATCTAATTAGGTTACCTCAAAACAAAGTACATATTTGTAGTCCGATTGTAATGCCAAATAAGCCATGTAAATTTCATTTTATTTGAATCGCAAGTTATATAAAAAAGCTCTTGAAGCAGTGTGTCACACATGGCAGATGTGTCTCAACATTAGCAAATGCACACACCTTTGCTTTACACATTCTTGCTTCCAGCCCTTAAACTCGTTAACATTCAATGGCACTACCATTCTGACTGCTACACAGTAAAAATATCTAGGCGTTCGTTTAACCACTAATATATCCAGGAATGTTCATGTCGACGAGACAATATCATCCTCAAACCGCTCACTCGGTTTTGTTTGTCGCAATTTCAACTCTGCCTTTTCTATCCTTAAACGTCTCCTTTACGCCATGCTTGTTCGCCCTAAACTAGAGTATGCTTCAGCTATCTGGCACCCACATCAGTCTTTTTTTAACTAACGCAAATCGAATTTGTCCAGAATCGTGCTGCTCGATTTATTTTTTCTAATTAGTCTCGCCTTTCTTGTGTCACTGCAATGAAATGTCAATTAGCTCTTCCTGATCTTTCCGTTCGTCGCAGAATTTCCCGTCTTTGCCTTTCCATAAAATGTACTATTCGGAACCATTACGACAGTCTCTCCTCAGCCAGCCCAGCTATATCTCTGCAAGACTCGATCATTCGTGCAAGATTACCCTTCCCAAGACCATTTCAACATTCCCTTCTACCAGAAGCTATTGTAGACTGGAATGGCCTTCCAGATGATATTGTCACCATCACCGATAACGCTAAAATCAGAACTGTGCTAACCATGCACTCCCCTCTGTAATGCCCTTTGGGGCCTTGAGGGTAATTCTAAGTAACTAAAGAAACAAATAAATAATATTCCGCCACCAGCGTGTGTTCGTGTAATTATAGGAAACTGGCCTCGTTACTGAAGGACTTGTCACGCGGCAACTCTGCCGTCAGTGTAACTAAAATGCATCATTCGCAAGCGCAGGCAAGGACGCCACCAAGGCAGCTCCAAAGGGGAAAGAGAACAGAGTAAGGGTGGATTTACTCGCCCCACATATGCCTTTGATCAGACTTCTCGACTTCTTTCGTTAACACAGCCATTCTCTTTTCTTCTGTGCTTTAGGAGCACCTAAAATGCCAGTAACTCGTTGTCTACGAGTAATCTAATAAGGTGAATGGTGAAAACTGCTCTGCAACATGACTGCACAGGGCTTACCAAGGTGAAAAGTTGTTTGGCAAAAGTTTCCTATAGTATTGCTTGCAACGCGTCTGAAAACCTCTGGCGTGCTTTTAACTTTACTAATGTGTTGCGTAACAGTTTGCATTTTGTGCATAATGCCCTCCCCTTTTCCTGCAGGCTGTAGAGGGACAAGCAGCAGCAAGTGCGCACCAGTCGTCCGCACTGACTTCGCTAGTGCTTCAGCTCGTCGGTGTGCAGAATCTCCATCCGCCAGCCGAATAAAGTGGGTCTCTATGCTCCATTTCATTTTTGGCACGGGTTACACCACCGTTACTTGAACATCTCAGTTGAAAAACTGCCATAGGTGTCCGCTTTGCAGAATTGTTAAAAGCGAGCAGTCGCAGTCCCGCTGTTCTTGCTGCAGCGGCCATTTTGTAAACTGTGGCTAGACCAAACAACATCTGTGCCTCGATGGGCTTCTCAAGCGTGGCACTGCTCCCCATTGTAGCTCGCTGTGGCTCGCGTGTGGTGTCCGCATTTGAAGACCAACTTTCCTTAACTGGTATGTCGTAGTAATCTTAGATTACGCCACAAGCGAACTTGACATGCAGAAAGAAGGAATTTTTATCAATGTAGACTGCTTTGTAACATCTTCCAACTATTCATATTTGTTTATTCAAAGTGTTCAATAATGGCCGGAGTGTCTCCTTGGTGCACTTGTTAGTAACAGGAATACAAAGGATTTCCAGCAAGGAAGCCTAAGGAAGCTCGAGCACTTCTTAAAGGACACATGCAAAGGACTAATAAAGTTTTTTTAAACAGCCTGGTTGGGAAAAGGAAGTCATAAAACAAATTCACAAGGAAAATAAAAATTTTAAGAGCTATATTCACGGCGTATACGAATTTGTAGTTGGCGCCGGCGGGCGCTGCGGAAAAGTGGCTGCTAGTCGTCACGTGACTGGTCGCTATTTGTCACGTGGTGCTTCCGCTCTATCGGAAGCTTCCTATGGTCTCTAAAAGTTAGTTATTCATCTTTATTTCAAGTGCAACAAAACACAAAGATTAATCGGTAACTTTTCGAACCCAAAGAAAGCTCCTGAAAAAGCGGAAGCAGACGTGATAGACCTGTGTGCCGGTCAGATGACGGCGGCAGCGCTGCGGGGTAGACAAACTTGCGCGGCGGTGGCGGTGTGGAGAAATGAGTTGACGGCGGCGCACCACGCTCAGCGTGCAGCGGCGGCGTGACTGTGAGTCGACTTTGAGACGGTGCACAGGTCTATCACATGACTTGCGGCGGCTCCCACGGGCGCAACTACAAAATCATTTTGTGCCGTCAATATAGCTCTAAAATTTTTTTTTCTTCGTTCTAATTTTATTTTATAACATTCTTTTTCCATCTGGTCTGTTTACAAAAAAATGTTTTTTTACTTCGCATGTGTCCTCAAACCCCCCCCCCCCCCATCCCCCCCTAAAAAGAAAATGCAATACTTTCAGTGCTTAAATTAACTATGTAATGTTGACAGCCCTTATTGATTCGATAGAACCCTGGGGTGAAAATGTCCGTCAACTGATTCCAGATGTTTGGAATAGTTACCAACTTGACCTACCGGTGACAGGAAGTTACTATGCGCTGATAAACATTTCGGCTGGGTACGTGTTAGCAAATGCATGAATGCATTTTCAGTGGTGGAACTGCCGCTCCATTTGCACCAAACTGTGCCAGAAGGAATAACCTGCTACATGCTGTTCCAAAGGCTGTTCTTGAAAAGGAGACTGAAAGTGGCTGGCACATGGCATTCTTTGCGTTGCCAAGAATGCCATGTGCCAGTACTATGTGCAAAGAGTAGGGCTGAGCGAATATTTTAATTATTGGGGTGGGTTAACTCCTTGAGTGCACTTCTCCTCAAGAATTGATGCACTGCGGAGAAGCAATACCTGCGGAGCTGACACCACGATCTTCCGGCTCGCTTTGCCGCAGCTCAGCCGCACACGGAGGCGAAAAACACACCTTAAAAGTGGTATAGCGCATGCGTGCGCCTGGTGTTATAAAAAGAAAAAAAATAGTGATTGTTGATATTTACGTCACAGTAAAATCTTCAAAATCTAACTGTGGTTGTTATGCAAGTGTATATGTTAGGCAGCAATGTTTTAGCAACCTGTGTTCATTATTTATCCTTGTTTTGTTTTAATTCAGGTATGAAGAACATATATTTGTATACGGCAAGAATATTTACAAATCCCCTCAATTAGGTGTGGCTGGGCTCTCTTATAGGTTTCATTTTAATTCAAATCTGTCATTTACTTGCCACCCCAATGTAGGTATTGGACTGCCTGAGGCCACAGTCTATAAATGTAGCTAGATTAAATTTAACAGAGCTCATAAGCGGGCAATTAGAAGCTTGGGAACAAGCTTTGTGAGTACAGCCGAATATTTGTTTAAGCATGGTGTACTAGTAGTGAAAAGCGTGGAGAAAGACGCAGCAACTATTCAATATTCAATTAAAGAATATTCGGCCAGAACCTCTATTTAATTCGAATTCGCTTCGAACCTAACACCCATTATTTGCACGTGCCTAACGAAGAGTTGTTGTTCTTTGTGCAAACGGTGCTCACATCGATCGCAATGAATAGATAGCGCTACTCATTGTTATCAGTTAAAGTAACTATGTGCTTTGCTTAGCTGCTCTATGAACAGTAGTAGATTGAATACGAGCGAGGGCAGCGTGACATTCAACACAAAAGTGTCCGTTTGTTGTCGAACTTGTGGCAATTACCTCACCGTGATACAAACCCTACAAAGTAGCCAAACATATTTTTTGCATCAAACACAAACCGAAGACGCCATCGGTACTCCTAACAGGTTAATTGAGACATCTGGAGAGTTACTGGCGTATGATTGTTCAATAAATAGATAAATATCTGTAGTGGCCAGGTCCCTGTAGGTATGGTGCCTTAAATAGTTTTCCACCACCAACAACTACAGTTTTTCCCACAGGCTACCTCCTAAAGAAATGGTATAAAACTTTTTGAGGTGAAAGCTCCACATTGTTTGCTCCAAAAGTGGGAATCAGCTCCAAAATGTGTTGTTCCCTGCTACAAGAGCTGCTCCAAATCACCTCTTGTCAGTTCCACCACTACATATTCAAAAACAGTATGATGACAATGAAAATAGGCTTAGGAGGTCTAATCTGTTCTTGTTTGTGTTGCGTCGATGAGGAAAAAATGTTCTTGTCACGTAGTCACATATTGTTTATTAACAGGTTAGGTTACATGTTGAGACCTCATGGCGGTTGCATGGAACAAGAAGAAAAGGAATGGCGCGGTGTGCGCGGGAAGTCCACCGGAAGACGCTGGCCCCCTGGTGGCGAAATACACAAATGCAGCAGTTTGGCTTCTTGGATACTGGCACTGAAGCATAGGGGCAATCAGAAGAAGTTGTCGAGTTCTGTGCGCATAAGTTAGGTGTACAGCTTGGCCCCTCTAATCTGGAGAAATCGCACCAGCTAAAGAAATTCCAGCCCGAGAAAACTAGACCGATCATCGTTAAGTTTGCCCGTTTCTAAGACAGAGAAAGCATTTTGGCCTCCGGTTTCAAATTGAAAGACGCCCCAAGGATATTTCTGCGTCTGTACGACTTGCCCGCAGCAAACCTTTTGAGTACAGAAAAAGTACGTCGGCCAGTTGAAAACAAACTAGCAAAAGATTTCTTTTAGTACTTTATCGTTAGAAGTTGGAACCGCATTCCCGCAAGATAAATCGTGATTTGATAGAACTGAAACGTGATCCGATCCGAAACCTTGCCGGCCAGCAGCTTTCACGCGATCGGTAGATCTGTTTGGTGTACTTTAACCTTGCACCTGCTTGTCACTTTGAATACGATGACTTCGTTAATCGTAGTCTGCTGCTTCGATATTCCGTTGCACAATAGGATAAACTCGAAATTTGGTGCCCTGTTCCTCCGCGCAACTCCGCGTCCGTTGCTTACGCACGTCACGTGGTTCGCACATATAAGTACTATGTCGAGCACGTGTGGGTTGTGTGATAAGCAGAGCTGGTTTGCATTTTGAGCAGCTGAAAGCCACTAAGAAAATAATCAGACTTGTACCCGTCACTGAAAAAGTAACCGATGACAGTTACAATCACTTTGCTGTATAAAGTACCCGACTACAATTACAATTACAGCCTCAAAGAAGTAATCGAAAAATTACTCTAAAGTAAGCAATTACTTCCCACGTTACTTTTCATTCAAACTTTTTTTATGATAGCATAATCCGTGGAATCTCGTGCTCAGTTGTTAAAGAAAAAAAAAAAGAAAGCCTCGACTGTTTTTGCTTAAAGCGCGAAACACACGTACAACCAAACCGTCCGATCCGACGTCTGACCGCGCAATACGACGGTCGGAGGCAAGGGTTTTCAAATTGCTCTCCGATGCTGCGGAACCCCCTCGCCCCCCAAGGTCATTCCGGCAGTCCGCACGTCGGATCGGACGGTTTGGTTGTACGTGTGTTTCGCGCTTAAAGCTGAGTGAGTGATGGCACACACCTAATCCCTCACAAGAGGCTAGATAAAGTCATTTTTCATACCCATAAGTAGTCTCCGGTGTAGAAATAAAAATGTACCCACGAAAAAGAAGCATAGTAAAGTGGCCTACTAATCCTCACAGCCTCGTGCTTAAGGGGAGACGCGGGTCTTAAAATGGTAAAAAAACGCGAAATTTCACGTTTTTCAAAATTCACATATTTGGATTAATTGTAGTCTAAGGTACCTGCCTGCAAAGTTTCAGTGTCGAATTCAATGTCTAAGCATGCAAAAAATTATGTTCACGATGTCCCCGCAGAGCCCTAACACAGCGAGTTCAATGAAAACAAGTGGAACTTCGCGCCCCGCGTGTTTCGCGATCGCTCGTCGGATCGCGGCCATCTTGGTCTTGTTGGAAAGCTGCTTATTTTCCCCACGTCCCCATTCCATTCGTTATCGCGACAACATCGGGGAAAGTCCGCATTCCGCGGGTTTCGAAGGCCCCAATTGCGATCGCTCATTGGCCGGCTAGCAAGGTGCCCGTACGTCAGAGCACGCGCGGCGCCTAGCGCCCCTGCTATTGGCCTAAACGCGCCCCTCCGCTCTTTTTCTCCTTTCCTCCTTTCCGTTCCCGCGCTGGCGAGAGGTGCGTCGTCTGCTCCTGGGACCGTCAGGCCCGTCTCCGCCCGTCTCCTTAGGCCTGTCTGCTTTGTTTCCTCCGTGGTCGAGCGCACGTTTTAGTTCCCGTTTGCGCGCTTGCGTTGAATATTGTTGGTTCGTTTTCCTACGAAGTCGCGCGTGTTTTGTTTCGCTTCGAGTTCTCGAGTTGCCGGACGACGCTCGGTTGAAATCGAGCACGCGGCAAGCGTTCGGAAGGAAGAGGAAGCGACCGTGGAACAAGAAGCCGAAGCTGTCTGCTGCAAGTGCGCCACCGCGATTGACGCCACCGCGATCGGCACCGCAGGATGCCTTGGATCTTCCGGAAACATCAGCCGGAGACATCCCGACTCCATGCAGCAGCGGCAGTTTGTCGAGCTTTGCGAGCGCGGTTCGTGTCGACACCGCATACTACACGGCCGAGCAGGCGCAACGAGTCGCACGATCGGACGAATGCAAGCGTGCGCTATCGGAAAAGTCGGCGACCCAGCGCAAATCCGACCTTCTCGGCATCACCACAGGAGGCCAGACGCGCGACGCTGGGACACAGTTCATTGTAGTGGACATGAAAGCTCTCAAAGCATGGAGAAGGACAATCTGTGTTTGCGTAAGGCCAGCGCTGCCCACCAGAGCAGCAGCAATGCAAAGCAGAGGTTCTCCAGGCAACACCAAACTGGAACAGCTGGGGACTGCAGTCCTGGACAGCTGTGAGGGGCTCCCCTTTCAAGTGCTACACGAACAAAGGCCCTTTTCAGGGCCAAACAAAATCTGCTTTCGGAACGTGCAACCCTTGGTGCCTCCTCCCGTTGTCCCTTATAGAGTCTACTCATTCTTTTATAACTTTATTTTACATTCCAGACATTATTTCTCAGTTTTATATTATTTTTTAAAGGTTCTTGTGAACGGATTGCAGAATTTTTCATCTCAGTTTGTTCAGATAGAACTATGCTTCATGTTGCTGAACATTATTGCATGGAATCCCTTACTCAATTTTATGCAATGAGTGTCAAAACTTCAACTGCAATTTTCTCAGCTTCGCATTTTTCGTCTACATGCCTAGCCTTACGGTTGCTTTCATGAGATTATTCTTCAAGGATTTCTATAAACTTTATACCGTTGAATTCAGAAAGAAGTGAACTGCTGGGTGATGCTATTTTTGTATGACAGTATGGGCCCGAAATTTTATTACTAGTGATAATGTGACCTCGTTAGGCTTTCTAAATAGTGTACTTGACCTAATTAGACTAGTTCTATACAATGATCTATCTTTACAAAAATATAAATAGCATCATCTTGCATGACAGGTCTTTAGCTACAAATCCATATCACTTATGCAAAAAAATTCGTATTTGAAAGTTCCTTAATGAGTCGTAAGAAATGACCTAATTAGGCTTAATTATTTTCTTTGTAACTCAAAAAGTAATTGAGATATTGCAGAACTAATTGAATATTTGAAAAGAGGAAGCCAAAACACATATGCACACTGATTTTCATTATAATCCATTAATAAACAAAAAAGTCGATTTTAGAACCAGTGTCTTGCCTTAATAATTTCGAAAAAAAAAAAAGCCCGTTGCCCGGAGCTGAATAACTCCAACTCCCTCCCCCCCCCCCAAAAAAAAAGAAATGAGGAAGATTGTAATGGGGGGTATATTTTGTAATCGATTACAGCAAAAAATTAATTCAATTAAAAAGATCATTACCCCTTAAAGGAAGTAATCGAAGCGTCACAAAATTGCAGTAAAAATAATCAATTACAAGTAATCTTGTAACACGTTACGTACGAGTCTGGAAAGTATAGAGGCTCACAAAGTTTCAAGTTTTCACACCTTTTACACTGTTATCCCATCTACCTAGGTCCCTAACCACTCATGTTCATCTGTGCTGCTAAGCGCGATTGAAATTGCTCCCGTGCGTGTCTAAGACACAAGCTGAAGTGCAATGAAAACTGATCTGAGCTGCTCCTAGCCTGCTCCAGAACATAGTTTTAGCTGCTCCCAACCTGCTCCTAAACAGCTGTTTCAGTTGCTCCCGTGGCTGTTCCCAAGGACATTTCGTGAGTTCCACCCCTGCACTAACTACGTCACCGGACCTTGTCAAGTCCATTCAATACTGCGATGGGCTCCGTGATTATAGGTTACAACATGTCGACTTGCCACTCTCCGTTCTTGTCAAACATTCTATTTCCAAGATCATTCGCGATTATAATGAGGCTGATTATAGATGAATAGATCATGGGTTGACAATCTTTTTTGACCATTACATTTAAATTGTCCTCTTCCATCAGTAGAGGAAACCGGCATTATTTAAAGCTAAAATGAACAGTCTTATAAATATGTTTGTTCCGACAGCCTGAGTATGCACTGATTCAAATAACCCATGGTTCACCAAAATGCTGCTCTTTTTGCATAACAAGAAAAGGCTATTTGCAAAGGCTAAACGTGTTAACACCTCAAGCTTTGGGTGCTTATAACTTTGCCCTTAAAAACTACAATAAAAAGTTGAAATTGGCTACTAAAAGTTTTTTTTTTATGACTCGCTGTTTATTTTGAATGGTAACCCGAGGAAGTTTTGGAACATGGTGTCACCAAAAAGCAATAACTCTGCCATCAAACCAAGCCGCGACAATGGCGATCCCATACAAGAAAGCGACTGCTCTGCAAATTACGACCCCAGCCAAAATATTACGTCCGTGGGACGCCGCATTCTCAACTAATGCCGATAATAAAAATGCGACCCGCCGCAAGCCGCTGCTCCTTAGCGGGCGGCAAGCGGTTTGTCGATCGCCAAAGCAACATTGGGCCGTGACGTCAGTATCCTTCTCTTTTTTTTCCTCTGGTCCAGGAGTTGCGCGTAGTGCGCTTCTTTGAGCCACTACCACAGCTACTTCGGCTTGCGATTGGCGTGTTTAGCCGTTGCTTTTATCTGTAGCCCGTGTAGCTTCGGTATAGAATTTTGTTTATTTGCTTGTGAGGACTTCAAGACTCGTTTTAGCGAGCAACTCGGTGCGCCCAAGACTGCCCAGCTGTTCCTCGAAAGATGCCGAGCGCAACTTGTAGCGCTGCGGGCTGCTCAAACAACCCGCTGTGCAACCCGGAGGTGCTTCTTCACAAGTTTCGAACGGACCGGAAATTGAAGAAAG